GCCAGAGGACTTTGACCGGGAACTTCCCCACAAAGTGGGTCCTGGGGCCAGACGGTCAAACGCTCGTGCCTGGGGCTGGAAGTGGGAACCAAATGCCGGCACTGGCCCTGTGTGAGCAGCTACCCCGTGTGGCCAATCTCACAGGGCAGGGGGGGGATGGTACATCCGGGCCAGGGTGGGAAGACGTTTCCTCCTGCCCCTACCTGCCAACCCCAACCGGGCGCTCAGTTCAGCCCCCTGGGCGCACAGAGCTCCTTGCTGGGGGAGGGGAAGGCTCGAGGATGACACCCCTGTCCCATGGCTCATAGGAGTGGAAACCCCCACCCCCGCCCCTCTGGCCCCCGCGGAAAAAGCTGGTGCACTTCTTAGCGCAACTGTCCCAGCCCTTCTTGGAGGCCATGGCTGAGAAAGGAAGAGCAACCCCCTCCCGCCCGACACCCCCCATTGGGCTTATGGGAATCCCACCCGCCTCCTGCAGCCGTTTAGATATTAACCCGGCCAGGACGGGCCACGGCGAACAGGCCAGGGCCAGGGCAGGCAGGAGGACGGACATCTGCAGCCTGTGGCTCCAAAGCCCCCTGCCACCCGCCACGGGTGCGCGCTGGCCCCTGGGGCTGCTTCTGCTCCTCCTGGGCACCCCCACCCACGCCCATCCTCTGTGAGTCCCGGGCTCGCCCGGCTTCCTGCACGTCTGACGTTTGCACGGTTCCCTTCTTGTCACCCCATCCGCTCTGTCACTTGCCCGAGTCCCTCCCTGCCCCCGTGCTTGTCTACTGGCAGGTACTTCCTGGCGACCTCCCAAGTCCTGAGGGTCGGCAGCCCGAGAACACCCACATCCAGGCCGACTCGGACTCACGAGGGCCCTCAGGGTAGACCTCGCAGCGTGGGACTTCCCCATGAGGACGCTGGTGGCTCCGAGTCATCTTGTCCTCTCGCCGGGAAACAATTTTATGGAGCAGACACCTGTGACAGTGGGTGACGGGCCGGGATGGGTGGCCAGCCACTGAGGCAGGGTCAGCAGTAGAGAGGGGCAGACTCTGAGGGGCCTTCCCACGAGGGACAGTTTCTGGGGAGTAGATTCAGGGCTTGAATGTACTTACTGTTCCTCTCAGGTCCCGTCCGTTTAGAAGTCAAAGTCCCCCGAGCCTGGGCCTCAGAAACCCTCCGATAGCCCATACGTCGTCGCCTCTGTGTGGATTATAAAAGGTGCCCTCTGCTGGTAGCTTGGGAACCTGAGTGTGGACTGGGTTCCGTCCTTCCCTTGGCCAGGTGCCCTTGTGCAGTGAGCAACCTGCACAGCTGCACTTGGCGACCTTGTTCCCAGAGGCAGAGCCATAAGGCCCTCGCTCAATTGCTCCTGCCAAGATCTGGCCGAAGGATTTGTCCCCGGGGTGGGAGACACCCGCAGAGCGTAGGGAGTGTGGGCCTCTCTCCCCAGCGTCCTGAGAGCCTGAGAAAGCCCCCACAACTGGGGCGACAGTATGTCGTCATCCGGGTAGCGTGGGCACCCACTTCGGACCCCTCGTACGTGGAGAAGATGGTGCTGGTGGCGCCCACGCTGGTACATCTTCACCCAGACAGACAAGCCCATCCACACCCCGGAGCACTTGGGCACAGTCCCCCGGCACTTGGCCTGGGGCAGGCGTTGACCCCTCCCCTAGACTCCTCCGACGTCCCAAATGTTCCCGTCCCTTAAAATCTTCCCCATCTCCCGAGATCTCCCTCTGCCCCAGATCTTAAAGGCCACCACCTCCCTCTCCAGACTCTCTCCCTTCCTTCCTCTATCCAATATTCAGTCCTTCCTCAGTCCCCATCTCAATCTCCCCCCACCCCCAGTTCAGTACCGGGTGTTCACTGTGAACCGCAAGACGGGTCCTGTGACAAGGACGTTCACTCTGGGCATCAAGGTGGCTCTGCCGATGCAGGGGGTGGATCCCGGATCCCGGGGTTACATGCTGTGCCCAAGGCCTGGGGACACGGATGCCAGGGCCCTCCCAGAGGGTGGCCACCAGCCCCTCCCTTGTCCCCGAGGAACCCGGAGGGTGTCACCGTGATCAGCCAGTTGCTGCCTGCCAGGGGAGGCTTCTTCGCCAACTCCTTCGACCTCCCAGAGCTCGTCAGGTGCCCGCGGGAGGGCACGGGAGGCTGTCGTGCTCTGTCACCACCTCTCCTAACTTCCTGTGCCTCGGCTGTGGGACGTGGACCATCGAAGCCAGTTTCCCAAGTGCCCCGAAGCAGAGGTTTGAGGCCACCTTGAAGGAGTATGGTGAGACACGAGAGGAACAGGGCTGGGGGCAGAAGCGGGAGGCAGGGGCTGGTGGCGCAGCTGCTGTGTCCCAGGGCCTGAGCTGGGTGCGTGCTGGTCGACAAGACCGCAGGTTCCAGCCTTTTGGGGTCTCCAGAGTCACCAGGGAAGGAGCAGGACAGGGAAGGGACAAGGAGACACGGTGCGATGCTGACGGTGCCCATTGCTTTTGTCCCACCCAGTCCTGCCATCTTTTGAGGTCCAGCTGATTACCAACATGACTTTCTCCTACCTCGACGACAAGGCTCTGGGTGTTGACATCCAAGCCCGGTGAGCGCCCTCATCCCCAGCCTTGCCGGAAGACTGGGGACACCAAGAAACTGAACGGGCAGAGAGACGTGGGCCACCTCTATAGCACTTAGGGTAGCAGAGACCCTCTTCTGCCACCCATGAGACATTCTAGGCCACCTACATTGTCCCATAAGGTTGTACAGACCACACCCTGCTATCCGTGAGGTCACATAGACCATCTTCCAAGTCTGTGCGATTGTACAGGCCACCTCGTCTACATAATGAAGCTGTACCTTGTCTCATCTCATCTGCCACTTCACTGTTTGGGCCATCTCTGAAAATCCACGAGGTGGCACGGGCCTCCTTGGCCATCATGAAGATGCAGCTCTGGGAGGTGGCAAATGCCACGTTTTCCATCTTATGACCGTCATAGACCCTGTCTGCAGCTCTATGAGGTTGTATAGGCCGTGCTGCCCGCCTGAGGTTGCACGGGCCATCTCTGCCACTTCTGGACATTCTACAGGTCATCATTCCACTGCTCTGACCTGCTATACACACAGGTCACCTGATCTTCCCGGTGAGGCTGCGCAGGCCACCTCTGCCACCTCATGGGTTGTCCAGACTTCCACATGGCTCCGCATGGCTGTAAGGCTACCTCTACCATCTTGTAAGGGGACACAGACCACATCTGCAACCCATCGAGGCTTTATGGGACGTATTTGTCGCTTCTCAGAGTTGTGTGGGGCAGCCATGAAGTTGTTTAAGCTCCCAGAGGCCACCTCTGCCCTTCCCAAAGTTGCACAGCTGTCTCTGCAGCCACACCAGGTGTGTGGGTGCTTCAGCGGCAGCAGAATGGCCTTGGTCCCCTAGGTATGTATTCAACAAGCCAGTGGATGGACACACTCTGGCCATCTTCTGGGTGAAGTTGGATTCCTGCCGGATCTCTATCCAAAGCTCCCTGCAGAGGGTGGAGGTGACTGGATCCTGGCCCCTCCTCCACCTCCCCTACACTCTGCCCTCTATCGTTTCCCAAAAAGCCATATCCTCTTCTTTTTGTTCCCCCCTAAGAACAGGTCTCTGCAGGCCTGGGCCACATCTCCATTCAGAAGGACACCCTGATGGCTGCATTCCAAGGCCCACAAGAGGACTTCATCAGAGCCTCAATCTTTGTCAATGTCACCATGTTATCCTCAGGTGCCACCGTCACCCAGGCCCATGGCTGAAGCCAGGATATTTCCCAGCCCAGACACTCTCCTCATGTGACTTCAGGCTATCTCCTCAGTTTCCTCATCAGAGAAATGGGAAAACAACCAGAAGGGCTGGAAGGAGCTGGAATGATGTTATTGCCTTTCCCTACCTTCCCCAAGACAGGGCTCCCATCCCAATCCCACCACCCGCCCAGGAAATTGACCCCCATCGGCAGACTCTACAGTCCCCTTGTCTCTGCAGGGGGTGAAATGGTCCAGACCGAGACTTCAGGGGTGAAGATCATCCAGAGCCCATACAACATCAAGTTCGTCAGGACACCCCAGTATTTCAAGCCAGGAATGCCTTTCCACTTTCAGGTCAGAGTCTGGGCTCACTCCACCCAGGGACTCAGGGACCCTTCCCCCAAAAGAGACCACCCAGGAGACAAAAACCAATACTGGACTCACTTGCACCCAACTCATCATGCTTCCATCATGCTCCTCAGACTAATCCCAAGGTCCCTTCAAGTCTTAACCCAGGTCTTCCCCAAAGCACAGTGACAGCTTCAGAATTTCTCTATGAGGGGTTAGAGGCCACAATCAGGTGACCTTTATCTTGGGGCTACATTTGCACAGCAAGCATGCTACTTTTACATACATTAATTTGGATGGGCATTGGGAAAGCTGGAGATATCCTTTGGCTCCAGTCTTACTCCACGTTTCCTACAATCTCTCCACGTCTCCTCCTACCCTCTCCACTCCCAGTCTTCCCACTCCCAGTCAGCACACCAGCACCCACGGTGACCACATAAGGCTGTACGCTGCAAAACTCTAGGAGGTGCCATTCATAAAATCTCTAACATGAATGGTGCCCTGGTGTTGTTCAATGCACCACTCATACAGTTGTACAAGGCAGTCTTATCCACATCATATTCCCAGTACTACCTCTCATGCCAGGCCACCCCCAGGCCTGTCCTTCATCTCACTTCAGATTCTACCCCAGGTCTTCGTCTCAAATCCTGATGGGTCCCGGCCTCCAGAGTCCTCGTCCACTGCCAAAACCACAAAGTGTACACCTCAACTGATGGGGTGGCCACTCTGACTATCAACACAGACGGAGATCAGCACCAGCTCCCCATCCTGGTACCAACCTGACAGGGCAAGTATGGTAGGGTTAGGGCTATGTGAGCTGAAAGGATTGAGGTTTACTTCCCCATCACCCTCCCCAGGTGGAAACTGAAGATTCTCTCTGGCCAGAGGAGCAGGCTTCAGCCAGGATGACAGCTTTGCCTTACTCAACTCAGGATGGGTCAGGGAACTTCCTGCACATCGAGGTAAAGACATTGGGCACAGAGGTTGGCGGCAGCATACAACTGAGCCTCAACACAAGGCATCGAGACCCTGCAGCAAAGGACCAGATCACTCACTTCACCAGTGAAGTGAGTGAAATAGGACAAGGGCCTGAGTCAAGGAATTTGTTCCCTGAACAACCTTGGATTACTGGTTTGGAGGAACTATGAGAAAAAGGCATGAAGATAGGAACAATCTGGGGTGGGCTCAGACCAAGAGGCTGAAACAAAGACACTATGGGCCACATTGTTGTCTGGGACAACTTCAGGGAAGGGCTGGCCCTACCCTTCTCATCTTTGTCCTCCTTGTCTTCAAGGTCTTGAGTAAGGGCCAGATTATGAGTGCTAAACATCAATTTAAAAGCCTGGGTAGTGTCTACACGTCAGCTATTATTGATGTGACTTCAGAGATGCTGCCCTCCTTCCACATTCTGGCCTTTTATTTACTGCCCAGGGGAGTGAGCCAGGACCCTGACCTGGTGGCTGATTCCATATGGATTGATGTGAATGACAGATGCATGGGAACAGTGAGCCAAATTCCTTGTAATTGTGTTCCACCATCATAAAGCTCCAGAAAGGGTCTACAAATTCAAGGGTTCCCAGTCTAGGGGGCAAGGGAAAGGAAAAGGAGAATATGTGGCCTTAAGAGCTCAACACAGGGTGTGACAAGAATACAAGTAAATATTTGGGAGCTATGTTGTCCAATTAAAAAAAAATAAAAAGAATACAAGTAAACAAATGTGTGGAGTTGGGCTTGGCCTAGTAGAGTTCCCAGATGTTCCCAGTAGGGAGCATAAACCTGAAAATGGAGTTGGGTGGCCTATGATTTCCTTTTCCTGACATCTCTCTTTTCTTGGCTTAGCTGAAGGTTGGCTTAAAGAATGATGGATTCTTCCAGGCTTTAGAGCCACAAAGTGTAGTGGAACTGAAGGTGACAGGTGATGCAGAGGCCACAGTGGGGCTAGTGGCTGTGGACAAGGCTGTCTATGTCTTGACCAGCAAACACAAACTCACTCAGAAGAAGGTGAGAGCATGTGGGCTTTGGGCCAAGAGGTTGACTGGAGATTCTAGCTGGAATCTCAGCTTTTTCAGCTATAAAATGGGCAACTACAATGGTTGTGAGGATTAAAGGAGATGCTGTACAGCATAGCAACTAAAGGTGGTAAGAGCCAATAAATGGGAAATGGCGTGAGAATTATTATTTGAGCCTGCAATTCCAGAACACCTTTGCTCCTTCCCTGGAGGGGGTCAGATATGTCCCAATTTCAGGCTCCTTTCTTGACCTCCAGGTCTGGGATGTGGTGGAGGAACATGGCATTGGCTGCACAGCAGGCAGTGGAAAAGACAGACTTGCTGTGTTCAAAGATGCTAGATTGGACCTGAAAATCAGCACAGGGACGAACACTCTGGCAAGCTCAGGTACAGGCAGGGGGGCAGGAGAAGGGAAGGAATGGGGGCAGTGCTGCTTAGTGGAGTTTGGTGTTAAACAGACATGGGCTAAAATCCAGACCCTGCCACTTACCATGGGCCAGTCACTTTTTCTGATTTTCAATTTCTTCATCCATAAAATAGGGATAACAGAGACTCTGTCTCAAAAAAAAAAAAATAGGGATAACAATAGAAGTAACTACTGTGTGTTGGCTAAGACATAGGTTTTGGCTGGGGCACAGTGGCTCATGACTGTAATCCCAGCACTTTGGGAGGCCAAGGCAGGAGGTTCACTTGAGGCCAGGAGTTCAAGACCAGCCTGAGCAACATAGCAAGACACACATCTCGACAAAAAATTATCCAGGCTTGGTGGCACACACCTGTAGTCCCAGCTACTCCTGAGACTGAGGTGGGAGGATCACTTGAGCCAAGCAGTTTGAGACTACAGTGAGCTCGCATCATCATGCCACTGCACTCCAGCCTGGGTGACCAAGCAAGACTAAGACACTATCTCTAAAATAAAATAAAGTAAAAAAATATATAGATTTGTCCATGTGTATCAGAGATACAAATTAACTGTAGCTGTAGCTTAAACAAGGTAGAAGTTAATTTCTCACTTAAAAACAGTCCAGAGGTCATCCTCAGAGAACTCAGGCTCTTTCTAGCTTGTTGCATGCCATGTTACAAGATAGCACTTCACCCTAACTCATGCCAGACAGGCAGCAAGATGAAAGGAAGAAGGAAGGGGAGAACACTTCTTTCTCTTTTTTTGAGACAGGTTCTCATTCTGTCACCTGGGCTAGAATGCTATGGCAGGATCATAGCTCACTGCAACCTTAAGCTCCTGGGCTCAAGGGATCCCCCCACCTCAACCTCCCAGGTAGCTAGGACTACAGCATGTGCCACCACTCCTAGCATTTTGTTTAATTTTTGTAGAGATGGGGGTCTTAATAAGTTGCTCAGTCTGGTCTTGAACTCCTGGCCTCAAGCAGTCCTCCCACTTTGGCATCCCAAGTTGCTGGGATGACAGGCATGAGCCACCGTGCCCAGCCTTCTTTCTTTTTTTTAAATTCATATAAACATTTGTTTAATATCCTAGTTTATACAGGTTAGGCAAATTACAGATAATTATATCAGGCAAAAATAAAAACGAATGCATCCCTCTTTAACAACATTTAGCTTATCCAGTAGAAGAGGATAGTTAAAAAAAGAAAAAAAAAAAGAGAAAACAAACAAACAAACAAACAAAAAAACATTTAGCTTATGCTTCCGCCTATTTTATACCAGTCATTTAATTACTTGCAAAATCAACTATGCTTGTGAATGGGGAAAAAAGCTAAGCAATCTTAGCATCATGAATTATTTTGACTTCACAGGCACCGACCATATTTTCTTAAATGGCCACCCACATTCACCCTCTTCTGGAATTAATAGGGGGGCATAAGGCCAAGTGAGCAATCTGTCACCTCTCATGGGGTGACATGAAAATTTGAATTTATAACCAATTCCCATATGAATCAAAAAGTCTCTAATATTAGCATAGCAGACTTTTCTATTGAAAGGGCAGTTTTTATAAAAGGTGTCAAATATGCCCCAATTTCTCCAGTCATGTGTCAAAGATTCAAACACTCCCTGTTCAAAAAAGGAAATCAGTTTACCAACTCTTTTCTCATTAAAGGATGCAAAATGTAGTATTATCAATGCTCAACAGTGAAGCACAGCTCCTCTTTGTTCCCAAAAGAGTCATTTGGGGGCTGGGCGCAGTGGCTCACGCCTGTAATCCTAGCACTCTAAGAGGCCAAGGCGGGTGGATCGCTCAAGGTCAGAAGTTCAAAACCAGCCTGAGCAAGAGTGAGACCCCGTCTCTACTAAAAATGGAAAGAAATTAATTGGACAACTAAAAATATATAGAAAAAATTAACCGGGCATGGGGGTGCATGCCTGTAGTCCCAGCTACTCGGGAGGCTGAAGCAGAAGGATCACTTGAGCCCAGGAGTTTGAGGTTGCTGTGAGCTAGGCTGACGCCACGGCACTCACTCTAGCCTGGGCAACAGAGTGAGACTCTGTCTCAAAAAAAAAAAAAAATCGGGTCCCCAGTGCTGCCAATCAGCAGTAGACACTGGTCATGAACAGTGACCACAGCAGTGACATTGAACCTCAAGATCATCCCAAGATAAGATCTCCCCTTGGTGGAGATAAAGATCTTAGTGGGTCCCCTAACATGATGATCCTCCAGTGATGATGTCACTAATGGGTGAGCCTATGACCCCCAGGGGTGATCATAACCCCCAGAGGGCGACCCCCACCCAGCCCAGGGGCTCTGTCCAGGCAGCACAAACCCAGTGAGTGACGTCTCCTCACTCCCTCAGCATCTCCCACCCCTCCAGCTCTGTGAACGTGCCAGATTCCATCACCACGTGGCAGTTTGTGGCTGTCAGCCTCAAGACTGGACAAGGTGACCTCCAGCAAGCCCAGGGCTGAGGGCATGGGAGGATGGTGGCCCTACTCAGCACGATGCTTGGCCCCTGCTTAAACCCAGTGTGATCTTCTGCCCACAGGTCTCTGTGGCTCGGATCCCTTTGAGCTGACAGTGATGAAATTGTTCTTCGTGGAACTTAAGTTGCCCCCCTCCGTGGTCAGGAACGAGCAGGTCCAGATCCAGGCCGTGCTGTACAATTTCAGGGACTTCCAGGTCAAGGTGAAGCCCCAAGCCCTCCCCTCCCCTCCCCCACCAAACCATCTGCCAGTGTGTTATATGAAAAGGGATGGAGTATGTTCATTATTCCTGTGGGTTGGTGGCATGGTGGCCTCTTTGGAAAGGTTCTACGGTATTTTGTTATTCAAACCTCACAATAACGCCCCAGATGGCAGTGAGGTGCCAGAGAACGGGTTTGAAAGTTCAGTGAGTGGACTGACTTGGGGGAGTCACAAAGCCCCCAGTTCGGAGCTTTGGAGTCAAGCCGGATTTCAAATCCTATCTCTGCTGTGTGACCTTGGGAAATTTACTTAACTTCTCTGTTCCAAGCCTCCTTTTCCTCATTGGCAAGATGAGGATAATTATACCCACGAATAATCAGGGAGCTAGGAAAATTACCTACAACCAGGGTGTGACCCATCGGAAATACCTTATTTACTTAACAAAGACATGTTCAGGACTTAAGATACAAGTGCTTTAAGAATATTAACTCAGCCGGACACAGTGGCTCACCCCTATAGTCCCAGCTATGTGGGAGGCTGAGGCGGGAGGATCGCTTGAGCCCAGGAGTTCGAGTCCAGCCTGGGCAACATAGCAAGACCCTGTCTCTCAAAAAAAAAAAATAATAATATTAATTCATTGTGCCCTCAGATCAACTATGTGAGGTAGGGACCACTATTATCCCCATTTCACAGATGAGAAAACTGAGGCACAGAGAGGTTAAGTAATTTGCCCAAGGACACACAGCTAGGAAGCAAAAGAGTTGGGATTTGAACCCAGATATTTGGGCTCTAGGTTCTGTGCTCTTAACAGCTAAGCAATGCTTCCTCTTACTGTCATTACGATTGTCATTATTGTTATTGGTAGTGGTGGCATTGTTTTTTAACGCGTGTCTTCACCGCATCCCTCAGGCCAGGGGATCAGATACAGCTAATGTCTCACAGCATCCTCCTAGACCCGCAAGGTTTGTGGCACCCCGGGCCATGCTAGGGAGGACAGAGGGGCTGATGTGGCGGCCAGTCCAAGCCCCTTCCAGGCCCGGTGCACTGTGACCGCCCCAGCTGCAGAGCCCGCTTGTCACAGAAGGTTGTGCCCGCTCAGGTCAGACCCAGGTGGAGCTGGTGCCATGGCGGGACTTTTTGAACAAGGAGCCCAACACGTCAGCGGAAGTGTTCAGCAGCGTCCAAGGTGAGGGGGGGGGCATTGGAGCTTGGTCCTCCAGGGTCTGCTGGGCACAAGGGCAGGGGGGCTGGGGGTGGTCGTGTGGGTGATCAGGAAGCCGTGGTGGCTTAGGCCATGCCCCAGGTGTGACCCAACTTGCCCACCTGACAGGTGACATCCTGGGTGAGACAGTCGTGGGCATCCTGTTACCCAGAGGAACACAGCGGCTGCTGAGGGTCCCCACCGGCTGTCCCGAGCAGACGCTGAGCTCCCTGGTGTCGGTGACCATCCTGACCCAATATCTGGACAGCACTGGCCAGTGGGACCAGGTCGCGGTGGAGCACAGGGACCGGGTGATGAAGAATATTGTCAGTGGTGAGAGCCAGGCCCCTCCTGGGGCTCTCTGGGAGGGTGGCTGGGGCACCCCTAGGATTGGGGGACGTCCGCATGAGACACCCCCAGACGATGACACCCAACCTCTGACTCCTCCCCCAGGTGACCCCAAAACTGTGACCCACCCCCAGCTTGCTCCTTTACCCTGGCCCCTCCCCCAGGCTACAGTCTGACAACAGACTCCCTGATGTCCCCAAGCAGAACCCCCCCTGGGGTGATGTTAAACCCAGACAATGTCCCAGGTTACACCCCGGTAGGGACGCTCTTAGGTAGCACACAAGCAGCAAACCCCAGAATAATCCCAGGGGGGTGGCCTCCTGGTTACACCTAAATCATGACACCTCCCCAGGTTACACCCAGAGATGGACAGCCTCTGGTCACACCCAGACAGCCAGAGACACCCCCAAGTTGATTTGGACAGTGAGCTCTCCCCCAGGTTACACTCAGACTCCAAACTGCCCATCCAGGGCTGCTCAAGCAGTAACCCGCCAGGAACATTTAGACATTGTCACCCCAATGTCCCACCCAAACAGGGAATCTTTAGGTTGTACCCAGGTAGAAACACTCAGAATATACACAAGAGGTACCCATCCAATGTCACACCCAGAAGTAAACTCCCCTGGGGGACACAAAGACTCCAGGTTTGCATCCAAGAAATGACCCCCAAGAAAAATCTCATGTAGGGCCCCTCAGGTTGTTCCTTTTCCCAGGTTACACCTGGACGACACCTTTCCTGATCCTTCCAGCAGCAACTCCCAGGCATGCCCTTCCCCAGAGTCCCCAAGGTGGCAGTTTCCTGGGTTACCCCCAGACAGATACAAACATCTGGGTCCCCAAAGTCATACCTGGGCCGTGATCCTCATCTATACCTGAGCCCTGAACCTCCCTCCTTAATACACCTGGCCAGTGAGTCTCCTCCTCCAGGTTCCCTCCAGCTGTGACACATCCCTGAGTCACCCCCAGACCCTGTCCCCTCCCCTACATTTCCTGATAACTGAGCCTGCCTTCGCAGACCACGCCCAGACACCTACCAGCCCTGCTCTGTCTGTTCGCTCAGGCTACATCCGGGTGCTGACGCACCGCAGCGCAGATGGCACCTACCACACCTCCAAGGGGAGACCAGGAAGCACCTGGTGAGGGTGACCCTGTATCTCTTGCCACCACCACCCCGGAAGCCCGAGGGCCCAGCGTGGGGCTTAAGGACTGAAGAGCATCACAGCGCAGGGTTTTGGGGTCTTGGAGTTGGAGATCAGCCTGAGCAAGAGCGAGACCCCATCTCTACTAAAAATAAGAAAGAAATTAATTGGCCAACTAAAAATACATAGAAAAAATTAGCCGGGCATGGTGGCGCATGCCTGTAGTCCCAGCTACTCGGGAGGCTGAGGCAGGAGGATTGCTTGAGCCCAGGAGTTTGAGGTTGCTGTGAGCTGATGCCACGGGGGGCAACAGAGTGAGACTCTGCCTCAAAAATAAATAAATAAATACAAATCAAAATAATCACTGAGATAACATACAAGGTAGAGCAGGGCGCGGTGGCTCACACCTGTAATCCTACCACTCTGGGAGGCCGAGGCGGGTGGATCACTCAAGGTCGGGAGTTCAAAAACAAGGTAGAGTGGGAGAGATGGCCAGAGGAGGGAAGTATAGATTGGAGGGCTGGGACAACAGCTCAAAAAAGCACACCTGTGTGAAAAGCCACAGACATTCCCAGCACAGGGAACAGCACATGCAAACACCCTGTCGTGGGAAAGAGCTCTTGGGGTAATCAAGGATGGAAAAGAGGTCATAAAATGTGGGTTATTTAGAAGGGTCCTATCTCATCCCCGAGGGTCCATATCACGTCTTCTCTACTGCCCAAATCAAGGGAAGCGGGGCAAGGAACTCTTGCTTGCAGTGGGACTGGAGGGACCCAGACAAGCTTTTCTGAGTCTCAGTTTCCCCATCTCTAAATAGCTGGAGTCCTGTCTCACAGGCTGGTTCTGAAAATGCAATGACCACATGTTTCCTCAGCAAAGGGCTTCAGTGGTAGATGAGAAAGATTGGGCCCCAAGCAGAAGGCAGGTTGAGGTGGCTGGGCCCAGGTCTGGGTGACCAGGTGACATCCCTTTTTCTAGACAAAAGCCACTGGCAGGTGAAGGAGCAGGACCTGGGCTCCCTGTATACCATTCAGGCGACGGCCTAGGCGCTGATGCAGAAGCTGACGCTGGGTCGGTACAATGAGACGCACGCCAACGCCAAGTGGCTCCTGGAGAAGCGGGAGCTGGGAGGAGGCTTCTTGTCCACCCAGGTGCCACCCCCTCTGCCCCCCTCGTCCCAGGAGAAGGGTGCTGGGGGCGCTAGCCGAGGTGCTGGCGCGCCCCGCCCAACCGGAAGGAGCTGTCCGTGGTGCTGACGCGCCTCCCGGTTGGCTCCCAGGGCGCTGTCCGTGGTGCTGATCCACACCCCTCCATCCCCCGCCCACCCCAACACCCAGACCACGGTGGTGGCCATCGAAGCCCTGACCCACTTCCGTAAAGCTGTCCCCTTCGAGGGTGACCAGGATCTCCACGTCCAGATCAGTGTCCCCATGGGAGCCTTGAACGTGGAGTGGCTTATTGACCACAACAATGCCTACCAGCAGCAGTGAGCAAAGGTACAGCACTGGCAGGGAGACAGGAGTCCATGCAGAGGTGGCATTGGGGATGAGGCCAAAAGTCACAACCCTGCCAATCTCCCTCCCCAAGAGGATCTCACAAGCGTTGGAAATGTGGCTCTACTGTCAATCCACAAACGTTTCCTGAGCATCTACTATGGGCCAATCGCCCTCCTAGGCATTGGGGACACCTTATGAAAGATCTGTGGTCCCTGCCCTTATGGAATGTACAATACAGAAAGAGAAGAATACACCATATATATATTTTTTCCATTTTCAGTTTTCCTAGCACAGGGAAAGATAAAAAATATGTGTAAAGGGAAAAATTCTTTGAGTGTGGGGAGAAAGAAAGTCCACCTTATGACTTTAGTCCATGAGGTGGATGTCATTTAAGCTTCAACCATTTGGCACATCTTTAATGAGCACTTGCTGTGTACCAGATACTGTCCTAGGTACTAGGAATACAGCCAAGGGTAAGACAGAAAAAAATCCTGCCCCTATAGAATTTTACATTTTTACAGGTGAGATAGACTATAAAGACTATAAAGATAGACTATAAAGAATATCTAGTGTGTTAACTGGTGACACGTACTATAGAAAAAATTAAGTAGGAAGTGGGCTTCAAGGAATGAGGGATATTATCTCACTTTTACTGTATTAATATACATAATGGGAATATAATTATGATATATATAAAATATGGCACCCTCTAATGTTCGTTAGCTGGGTGCCAGGCACCATCCTTATATATATGAAACTATCTATTCCTCACAATGATGCTATAAAGTTGGTACTATCATTGACTTCGATTTCTAGATGGGAAATTGGAGAGATATAGAAGAAAAATAACCAGTCTAAGGTCACACATATGTTTAATGAAGATGCCTGGAGGAATAGGAGTTGTTGAGATGAAGAAAGCAGAGGTAGGGGAAGATCGTTCCACGGTGATGGGTTGAAGCAGCCTGAGAGTGGAGAACCCTCATCCAGGCACAGGAATAGTTCATAGGGACAACTCAAGAGAGAAATAAGTAGCCTGTCAGGAGCCACCAAGGGGGGCTGGGGAAGCCATGGCAAGAATTCAGGACTCAACACTTCAGACAATAGGATTTTAGCAAGGGTGATGTGATGGAGGTGAATTTTTTTAAATTTTGCTCTAGACCAGGGGTCCTCAAACTTTTTAAACAGGGGCCAGTTCACTGTCCCTCAGACTGTTGGAGGACCATTGGAGAGTGCGGCGCACATTCCACACATGCGCACTGTGGGCCCGGGACGAGTCAGCTGCTAAGCAGGACAGGCAGCGGCAGCCAAAACACCTGGCGGGGCGAGCCGGATAAATGTCCTCGGCTGGCTGCATGTGGCCACAGGTCGTAGGTTGAGGAAACCTGCGACAATGTGAGAAGAGCATAATGAGAGACTAGACACAGAAATGCCAGTGACAAGGGTCTTGTGGGGGCTCCCTGCGCAGGGAACTTGGGAGATGCTGCAAAGCAGACAGATTGGAGAGAGATGCACAGGAGCACACAGCCCGAGTCAGCAGTCCTAGTCAATCTGTGACAGTGTAGACTCCACAAATGCTCTATAAAGAAGGAAAAGTAAAACCATCTGCGTGGGGACACGTGGATAATGAATCACTAGATCCCAAGTTAGGGAAATATCAAGACCCCAGTACCTTTGTGTGCTTTCCTCCTGACACACTTTGCTGCTTCCTCCAACCCTGCATCCTCCTCTCTCTCCCCCAGTTCTTTGCCAACAATGACCTAGAGATCAAAGCCAGTGGCAGCAGTAAAGAACCATCTCGGTAGGTGTGGTAGCCCGCTACCTTAGCCCCTTCAGCTGCTATAACAAAATGCCATACACTGGGTGGCCTAAACAACAGACATTTATTCCTAACAGTTCTGGAGACCGGGAAGTCCAAGATCACATTAGTGACTAGGTTTCAACATATGGATTTGTCGGGGACACAAACATTCAGATCATAGCACCCACTCTTGAGATCCTTAGCTGGCGGGTAGGAGCAAGTCCTAGACCCCAAGACATGATCAAAATTAGCAATAATTTTAGCTATAATTTGGGGCACTACTGTTTGCTGGGAATCAAGCTAGGACACCTCAAAACCACCTTGGGAAATTGGTAAGGGTATGGACTTCATTCAACAGGTGGAGAAATGGAAGCTCAGAGTGCTCTTTAGTTGTTCTAAATTAAGAGTCAGGGAAGGTGGAGGCTAGAGGTCATTGGACCCCTCTGCTTCTCCCATGCTGAGTCCCTCATGGGATGTCCCCCTCCTTGATCTCCCAACGGAAGAGTCTCCCTCCAGGATACCTCCCAAGGCTCAGAGGATGACTTCACCCTTCCCCTAAAATCTGAGCACGTGGCTCTATTATATCTTCCAGCCCTACGCCCTATGGCCCAGGAAGGCAGCCCTTTTGCTCACGAAAAGGTGGCCTGCTAACCTGTTTCAGACAATGGAGTCACCATTCAATCCCTGACTTTGTTGTGTGATCTTGAGCAAGCCACATTCTTCCTTAAACCTCAGTGAATTTTGTTTTTGAGATGGGGTCTTGCTCTGTTGCCCAGGCTGGAGTGGAGTGGCACAATGATAGCTCACTGCAGTCTTGAACTCCTGGGCTCAAGCGATCCTCCCATCTGAGCCTTTCAAGTAGCTGTGACAATAGGTGTGCACCACCATACCCAGCTAATTTTTAATTTTTTTTTTTTAGAGATGGGGTCTTGCTATGTTGCCCAGGCTGGTCTCAAACTCCCGGCCTCAAGCAATCCTCCCACCTCAACCTCCCAAAGTGCTGGGATTACGGTCATGAGCCACCATGCCTGGCCCTCAGTGAAATTTATGTTCAAATGAGTTAATATTAAAGAAAATTCAAAATTCAGTTTCTCAATGGAACCAGCCACATGTGGCTAGTGGCTGCCATATTGAACAATGCAGATAGAAACCATTCGCATTGCTGCAGGAAATTCTATGACACAGAGCTGGTCTAGACTCTAGAGACTTCTGGCCCCTGCAGTGAAATCCCCATGTGGCCAGAGACTTGGGCAGTCAAACCCTGGGGTGTGGACGAAAGGCAGTGGGTGGAAACGGACTCTGACAACCCCCCCCCCCGGCCTGGCAGATCCTGACCATGTACCACAGGTCCCCAGAGTCCTGGAAGGACACCTGCAACATGTACCACCTGAATGTGACTCTTCAAAGTGCCCCAGCAGGTAAACCTGGACCCAGGGATACCCAATCCTTCTTCTTTACTATTTTATTTTGACTGTTGCTTATTGAGCACATTTATTGCTTGATCTAGTCATTCAACAAGAAATGAGCCAGATCATTCCTTGGTCCCAGGAATATAGGCATGAAAAGGAAAGTATTCCTTCTTCCCCTGGGAGGTACATTCTAGTGGAAGGACACAAATAATAATTTAATACACAAATTACAATATGTAATACTCATACTATTATTTATTTATAACCCAATAAATAAAGCTATATTATAAACCAATAA